TTAGTTCAAACTAATCATGCGCTATGGTCAAAAGTTTTTTTCTCAGTTAACAAGAAACATTGTCACAACTTTGGCACCTTCTGGAAGTTATGAACAAACGTTCTTACAGTAATGTTAATAGCATGTTCGTTCTGAGTTAGCTGGTCTTTAATAATGTTCTCATAGCACAGAAATTTTATTTATATCATTGTTTATGGAACATTTTCTTTTTTATTTAACATTTTCTCTTTTTTTTATGTTACCGTTTGTTTCAAAACGTACTGAGAACGTTCAAAAGTAAAAAAAATTAACAAACTATAAAATGAAATTTTCCCTTAAGATTTAAAAAACTGGGCATTTTGAATGTTCAGAGAACATTCAGAAATAACGTTTTCATAACTTAATGGCAACATTAGCGAAACAATCTTAGACTATTTTTGTTAGCTGGGTTGATGATGTGCAAGAATGCATCATAATGTGCAAGAAGCTGCATGAAAAAAAATTTGTTTATTAATTGAAAACCTGCCCCGTAATCATAATTTGTGTGAAAATAAATACAATTTGTTGGTGTTTTACTGCTACTGCTGTTCATTTCAGCTGGAAACTGCAGTGATCTGCATGAATAGGTACATTTTTGGAGTTTTGCCATAATAGGTAGAGGCGCATTTTTCCAATGAGCCTGTGTTGCAACATCAGCACTTCTAGAACACAGAGAGCTGATAAAATGTTTTTCTGACTAATGAAATGTATTGCTGAAAATAAAATGTATCATTTTTTTGCGGTGCAACCTTTAATTTTGAGAATGGACAAACAGAGGCTGAGATATTCATAGAGGGATGCTTAGAGGGGGATGGTTTTGTAGGGCTGCTGGAGGATGCTGGGGGAGGAGGATCCTACCGGCAGATTATTAATGGTTAGCAGGGTGGGGGTACTGGATTATCTGCCCTCTCAGCGGTTGATGACAACTCTACTGTATCTCCAGCTGCTTTACATCACCACACACTGCTCCTGCTTCAGTTAAGATGTGTTTTCTTCTCTGTTTGATCTGAATGAAAAGCATCTATAGCGTGACTATTCAACCATGTCACTTTGCTTCATCCCGGCATGATATTGCACAGTCTATTGAACTACTTAACCATGTGCATAATTTGTTTCACACTTTATGAGCACAGTTATAAATTTTAACACTTAAAAGCATTCCTTAACCTCATGCTTTTAGGGTAAAATGCTCATATCTTTAATGTTGCCACTACAAGGTTAACTCCAAGGACAAACTGCAAGATTGATAATACTGTTCCTTTAGGTTAAATAGAAATGAACAGAAAATAAAATAGAGGTGCATAATCCCTGAGCCACAAGAATAATTGAGTTCATTTGAATTACTGTTGAATTACTGCCGAATGCTCCCTGTCTTCCATTGGTTAAACAATTAGTCCCATCCCAGAGCCAGTGTTTTTCAGGTTGCTCAAACAGACAGAAATGTTCTGAAAGCATCTTGTTACACTTTTCAGATGAATCAACCTACAATTTGCTGATAGTTTCCTCTGCATAGTGAATTGAGATTACAGATTTAAGATGTAGCTAATCTGATAAAAGTTCAAAACGCATGCAATTTTTTAAGATGTATTAGTGGAACATTTTTGCTATGGAGGTCTCAGTTGTTTTTACACATACATGACTTAGCTATACAGTACACTGTAAACTTGAAGGCAAATATTTGAAAAGATTCACGACATGGATTTTTTAAAAATTATTTTAATATGTTAAAAAATTTTTTGAAATTATTCATTTTTAAGGAGGCGGCTCCTTTAAGAATTGTCAGTAAACGGCTACTGTTATGAGTGGTTAACGTAGCTAAAATTTATCAATGCCCCCTCATTCAATGTGTTTTGAAAACATTATAAAGTGACGTGTAGCCAAGAATGGTGTCCGATACTCGGAATTTGTGCTCTGCATTTAACCCATCCAAGTGCACACACACACACACACAGCAGTGGGTAGCCATTTTTGCTGCTGTTGCAGTTGGGCTTTCGGTGTCTTGCTTAAGGGCCTTACCTCAGTCGTGTTATTAAAGGTGGAAGAGGCCGCTGGAAATTCACTCCACCCACCTACAATCCCTGCCGGTACCAAGACTCGAACCAGCTACCTTTGGGTTACAAATCCGACTCTCTAACCATTAGGCCATGACTGCCCCATATTATTCATATAAACAGTCTGCAGTGTAGCTGCTGCTACTGTACACTATCTGGAGTCAAATGCTCCAAACAAACATATAATCCTTTAACGCGATCCGGGATGCCATTAAAATAAACCACCCACTTTTTCTTGTCGCTGGGAACTTTCTGGAGGCTGTATAGAGGCAAATGAGCTTTTTAAAAAGGACGGTGCATTCACATTAGTAATGAATGGGAGTAATATGAATGGGAGAAAGTGCAATGCAAAATATGTCAGAATAAGTCCTGCATTCTAAATAAAAGAGCCAATCGCCAATTGGTAAAATCACGTGTCACTGCAGCTGCCATAGAAACATCAGTGTCCTCAGTCATGCGCACTGGCTGGTCCAGCCTAAACGATATGCTTTTTTTTAACGCTAAACAACATTTATGGGGCAGTTCATACCAGATTTTGTTGCTGGTTTGAAATATATATTTTAAATCTGAGTGTGGCTAGCAGTTTTTGAAATTTCAGAATTTTCAAGTAGATAGATAAATGCCTGAAATAGCTGCCCGGAGGCGTTGCAAATATGACTTTCCTTGAAAGGAACTTTCTACAAATACCTTTTATATTTCAAAAGATTAAGGATATTTTGATTTATCATGTCACGACCCCTTTTTTTCTTCTAAACGTTCTAATTTGCTCAACTGGTTGCTAGCAACATCAAGGTCAAGGGTTTGATTCCCAGTGAACGCACATAAACTGTAGGCCACTGATAAAAATGTATACTATGAATGCAATGCTGTTGCTTTAGATGCATGAATGTGTCGTAATGTAACACCATCTATTGTACCTCAGCTTTTATTGTCTGAACTCATCCTTCACACAGATAATGAGAACATTTGGATGCTCCCAGTTAGTGTTATTGGAAGAGAACTGAACTGAATCAACAATGAACTGACTTTAACTGATAATTAAACTGACTTTTTTCTATTGTCCTCTTGCATTATCAGCACACGTTTTTCCTGTTTAACACTGTAAAGCTGCTTTGACACAATCTGCATTGTATAAAGCGCTACATAAATAAAGGTGACTTGACCTGTCTTGACATGCACCTTCATTTTACTATAATACAACCATAAATGTGATACATTTTTGTTATTCAGAGAGTAGCATATGAGAGAGAGATCCAGCCGTTTATCTTCTCCTTTACTAGATTCAAACTTATTTGGTCGACAAAGTGTACCAGAATACCCACGGGACAATAAGAAAGCAGACGGACTGTAATCTTGTTACATAACAAAACATTTAATTCACTTTTCATTCAGCGTTAATCCGTTCTGTGTGCACCATGTGCCCAGGAGCATAATAAACACGTGTAGCTTTCCACTGTGTTCATAAGATAACACTTTAGATAATACTTTCAGTATTAGATTCCAGCTTGAGATTATGTTACATACATGGCTTGGAGCATCAGGGGTGAGTGGATGATGACAGAGTTTTCATTTTTGGGGTGAAATATCCCTTTAATGTATAACACAATGTTCTGGGTGAGCAAGCTCTAATGGCAGCACCTGTGAAATATTGCCAATTACTGCAGAAACAATTCCCACATCTCTCAATTTGGAGAAACACATGCCTAATGCAGTAAGGCCTATTCACCCCAAGACCAAATAGTTTTGTTTCAAGCAGAGAAGAAAAAGTGAGAAATATGAGGAAAATTAATTAATTTAATTAAATATTTAGTCTCACGTGTTAAGCATTCAAATTGACAGTCCTAAGAAAGGTGTAGAGTAAATTTTGTTAATCAGCACCATCTTTAGTACAAGAGTGAATTTGCTTTCCGGTTGACCTGATAAATACTCATTTTGGTTTTGGTGTAAATTATGTTAAAAACTAAAAGTTACAAATTATTTTTATCTCAGACTTTTCTCTCTCTGCAAGATATAAACTCAAAAGATATTTTTTCTCGCAATTTCAAGTGTACATCTCACAAATTCTGATTTTTTTTTGTGTGTGCAATTGACAGATATGAACTTGTACATCTGAGAATAAAAGAACTGCAAGTTATAAACTCACAATTCAACTTAAAAATGTGTGCAGGGTGGTGGATTTCCTGTTGTCAGCATGCTTTGCATACTGTCTGCATACTGACTGGAGAAGGAGAACAGATGTTGAAATTAAGTGTTATTTTATGTGTTTTTTAGTAAAGGGAAAGACAGCCCTTTTAATGCTGTTATGTTTGACATTTTTTTCTGTTATGTTGACGTTTTTGTGATTACCACTGTGCTGAAGAGTAGTACTCGTGGATAGGTAGATCGCTATATGAAGAAAAACTCACTACATAGACTATAAAATTAATCATTCCGTTAATTCTAGTTAGATATTGCATGTGCATTGAATTTATGTTAAGTAAGTAACGTTTAGCATGGGTTATGTTAGCTGTTAATATGAACTAAAATAGATATGATTAATTGGCTCTGGATCCAACACTGAGTTATGAAATGTGTTGGAACAAGTTTTTGAGTAATCAACTTAAAAATGTGTTTATGCTACAAATTATTAAGCCGAGTTCTTTTTTCTTTTCACTTTAACTGCTTTATAGAACTGTTGTATAAAAGCAGTATTACACTCATAATCATGCTATTGTATTGAATATCAGATGTGAAGTCCATCAGTGCCATCAAAATTATACAAAATAACAGCATGTTAATAATGGCTTAGTAGTATTTCACAGTACTTACAACAAGTATAGTGGCGCTGTGATATAAAGTATGTGACCGAATTAATATGAATATGGAGTGTAATTACAGTAGAACACGTCACTGCTCTTTGCCCTTGACTGTGCGTGTCGCAGGAGAGATCAGCTCTGATGGAGCGGCCGTGACGAGGTGCTGACGTGGCTCTCATCAGCAGCACACTGTGGAAACCCGTGGGAGACAGAGAGAGCACGGAGTGAAGATCTGTCCAGCGGCACTGCAGTCACTCTCACTAGCGGAATAGCGGAATAGCGTTCATTTAGAGGCTCAATGATGGAGGTTCCACGCGTGGGACACAGTGTCAGCAGCCCCACGAGCCCGTGCGAGGACATGATGAAGAATCTCAGTCTGGACGCCATCCAGCTTTGTGAGAGAGAAGGTAAGAAGTGTTACTTTTGCTAAATTATCAGTTTGTCCTCAGACAGGTGAACTGGAGTGGAGGAGCAGTGCCATTGCGTTTGAGATTTGAGGACGGGGAAATATGTAAATGCATGCAAACTTCAAAATGCAAATGCATTTAAGGCGCATGCTTTTAAAGATCCTGATGCATACTATAGGCTGAGGTTGCTCAGCTATTCTCGCATTTAGCTGGAGCTGGTTTGGTGTCATTGCATTGGAGCTTTCACTTGGAAACATCTTTTTAATGCACGCAGAAGCAATCACGCAACTCACGTGCTGAATAGCAGTTTTGTCTTTTTGAAAAACGTGCATTTACGGCGCGTGCATGAAAGTGCATGCTATAGATTTGCGCGTGAGGTTGCTTAGTTGTTTTTTCTTTAAAATGCATTGCATTTGAGCTTTCTAGACAAGGAAGGATTATTATAATTCATGCACCACCATAAGACTCACGTGCTGTGCTTCATAGTAAAACGACTTTTTCATGAATAAATCACATAATTCCGTATCGATTGAATGCTTTTAAGTCGCATGCATGCAGACTTAGGTGCAATTTATTATTTTCCTTTGGGTCACAGAAAGAGGTGCATGCTCTCCGAACATTAATATTCCATGCACTTGAATGCTTGTTTCAATATGATGCTCGCGTAACGTTCAGCACCATGGACACGGTCATTGCGCGCGCACCATACTGAAACAATACCGGATTGCAGCTGCATGCATCTGAGGCTATACGACCAGTGAGCAATTCACTCTCTCGCTCATATCGTAATGAAAGCAAAATGTTTAGTCGAGCCACACTCTGAATATGCTGATTCATCTGGGTGACACTGTATTGCCCATTGTCTTATGCGCGTACTATGTATCTACTAAATTAATGATTAATGGTTATGTACAGGATTTACATGGGTGTATCCCAGTGCGTGCGTTTCTAGGCATACTTAGTCATTGATTTTCCAGAGAAAGCTCTCCTGCCTCGTGCTGCTCTGGAACAGAGGAGCATACTATTAAAATACAAAGCATTTCATATTAAAGAACAGAAACATACTGCCTACCATGTTTTTCCTTCTGTATCATAATGGCAGAATATTTATCACTTCGTAAGTATTTGATTTTTGGCCAAGCCAATTAATTGTCTGATATCCAGACATTTTTTTGCATACATTAAGTTGATAACTATAACTGACAGATGTGTGTCAGTTTCACAATCTAGTTTTTCGGTTTCAAATGCCGTTTAGTAAATTTTGAGTAAACATTTTACATCAAATGTAAATTTTAAAAAAAATCAGAAATTGTATGTACATATTTGCAATGTTGACACCCTGCTCTAGTAAACTGTATCATATTTGCCATTGAAAACCCTAAGTCAACCACTAATAATCAGTACTAATGTAATTAACAAGAGGTGAGGCAAATCAGAATATGAAGAGAAATAGCTGTGTGTTGATTTCTGTGGACTTGTTTATCATCAGTATATCAGAGCTAAAGCAAAGAACATGCTTTGCGTGAGCTGAACGAAAATTCCTTAGAGCTCTGATTTGTATTCTATACCAGTACTGTGCAGAGGAACTCGAAGTCCCTTCAGCCATGCTGTCACAAGACAGAGAGAGAGAGACAAAAAAGAGAGAACATTCTTATTGACACGGTCCGTGCAGTGTAGCATTGACGCTGTCACAGTCCTTTGAGTGATATAATTGGGTGTAGACACACAACTCTATTGATTTAGATGCTATTGTTTTAATGTTCCTATATGGACAGTGACAGATAAAGACAAGCTTTTGAAATGTGCTGTAAATACGTTGTACATTCATATTGCTTTTTAACAGAATAGATATTATTTGGATGCTTCTGTTTGCACTAGACATGTTAAACACACGGAGAGAATGACAAAATCTGATTGGTTGATGGATCTTGGCTAATAATTTGCACAGATTTGGGCCAAGAAGGAACAAGACGAAGATATGATGAAAACGAATGAGTCACAATGGGTACGTTCTGTTCTGACCCATCTGTCCTCTGAGTTTTATACATCTCAGTGTGCCATATCAACACTCCGACTCACCTGCCCTCTCCATTTGTGTTGGCATAATGATGGACATCTGTGCCAGAGTTCAGAAGAATTGTTAACCAGTTTTATAAAGTTATGAAGTGAACTTATTCCAAAAAATGTTTAATCATTTAATTGGAAAAGATTATCAAGGATCCAAGGATTAAGGCTCACAGTTTCATGGCTATATCCGCAATAGACACTGGGAACCACAGTAAGGAAATGATTCCCATTATTATTCAGATCAGTGGTCAACAGATGTGGGTTTTTTTTAGTGGCTGATTATTAAACTATTACTCACAATACTAAATATATGGTTACAGCCTTGCAAAGTGCCAATTTATTTATTGTTACTAACCCTAAGCCAAATCTAAACCATAAAGCACTGTTATTTCAGCCATTATCAGAGTAAGTTTGGAATTATACTTATTTTAATTGTTTTTTTTTTTACTCAGTTTCAACGTATTTTTAATCACACATTATCACTGAAATAATAATATAATAATAAAAGTAATAGCCAATGACATTTCTCTATCAGCATATTTTATGGCAGTTATATATATATATATATATATATATATGGGTATAAATGAGGATTTAATGTTACAGGGTTGAATATCAGCAAAAATAATGTACAAAAATGTCATTAGATAGCAAATGTTATTTACAACAGCAAGAAAAGTCAGTTAAAATGCGGCCCAATGTTCCATATATAATATATATCTGTATTGTTTTCTGTATTGACTTTTCATAGAGGTTTTACCTGTATTTTGATTTCCTTCTTACATTTACAGTACTTTTTTTGGTTTGTGCCATTTAAAAAAAAAGACAGACAGTGAAAGAATACCATTTAAATCTCATTAAAAGCTAAATTTAGATAAAATGTTGTCTATTTAACCAAAAAAAAAATCAATGTTAATGAATCAATATGTAAATTTGCTAATAATTTTATTTAAAACAAACATGTCTTATTTTAATATTTATTTTGCATTGCACATAAATAAATGGGCATCTATCAAATGATGTAAATAAGGCCAGTGTCCTGTTAATTTAATCACTGAGACACAAATAGCATAATTTCCAGAGAATGAGAATGACACAGGTGTTCATTTTAGTGTTGGAACCAGTTATGATCTTCTAGTAAATGCTTGGCGCTAATATGGTAAGTACTTCCTTTACTAAGATTCATGAGGAATGAGTCCATATTTCCATTATATAATCACTGTGAAACTGCAGATGCACTCAAAGCAAGCGTTTGCTTCTGAAGCACAGAATACTCTACGGACAGGCATCCATTTGTGAAAGATAAAAAATGGACGAGCTGCCCCTGTGCTGTGGGACTCCTCGATAAGCATGCATTAAAGAGGGCGTTTCTTCCCCCTCGGGGCAGGCCTCAGATGGGGAGTCCTTTGTGTGAGGGCCTACAGGAGCCTGACAGTGCTAACTCACTTCCCCTGTCTGAATATACAGCTTTGGCCAGCTGTGTATGGGGGGACTGGCTCCAAAACAGGGGCCACCATCTGCCAAGCCCGCCTTCTAGCGAAAGAAACGATTTAACATGGCCATCAATTTGCTAATTGTGTCCGCTGTGCAAATATAGCACAGCAAAATAACAACAAAACAGACATGGATTGGATAAATAATGGAGCTGATTCATGATTAGTAGCCTATTCTCAGTTGAACATGCTTCTAGAGACAGTCATGCTGTTTGAATAAGTGAGATTTGGGGCAAAGAGTGTTAGCTGAGTGTAAACTCTTTTGGGTTAAATCTAAATATACGTTTTCTATGTCATAACTAAACAGTTAACTAAAGAGGTATAGCAAGCTGAATGGATGTTAAAAATCCATGAACTTGCTTCACAAGTGCAACTTAAAAGCAGAAAACACTTAAATATATATTTTTAAATAGCCAAAAGACTTTGGTTCAAAGGGATAATTTACACAAAAATGTAAATTCTGTCATTATGTATTCACCCTGATGGTGTTCTAATGACATATGACCTTGTTTATTTTTCATACCACAAAAGAAAAAAAAATTTAAGTTTAATTTTACCAAACCTCTCTTAGAACACTTGGAAAATATAGCAGAGGTCATATGGGATCATACATTTTTATTTTATTTTTTTTGTTAAAGCTTGAAGCTGGTTTCTATTTTACGGAAGCCTGTTTCTGCCACTGAATAAAAAAGGTAACTGTGACTTTTTATTTCACAATTCTGACTTTTTTTCTTAAAATTCTGACTTTTTTCTTTGCAATTATGACTTTTTTTCTTAGAATTGCATGATGTAAAATCAGAATTGTTATAAAATCAGAATTGCATGATATAGACCTCTCTTAGAACACTTGGAAAATATAGCAGAGGTCATATGGGATCATACATTTTTATTTTATTTTTTTTGTTAAAGCTTGAAGTTGGTTTCTATTTTACGGAAGCCTGTTTCTGCCACTGAATAAAAAAGGTAACTGTGACTTTTTATTTCACAATTCTGACTTTTTTTCTTAAAATTCTGACTTTTTTCTTTGCAATTATGACTTTTTTTATTAGAATTGCATGATGTAAAATCAGAATTGTTATAAAATCAGAATTGCATGATAGAAACTCGAAATTGCAAGTTATAAAGTCAGAATTGTGAGATATAAACTATTGTAGGACAATAGTCTTTTTTTCCTCAGAATTGAACTTCATAACTCGCAATTGAGAGTAAAGAAGTCAGAATTGTGAGAAAAAAAAGTCAGAATTGCGAGATATAAACTCGCAATTGTGCGAAAAAAACTCAGAATTGAGAGTTTATATCTTGCACTTCTGACTATATGACTCGCAATTACAAGTTTATATCACACATTTCTGAGAAAAATTTTATTTCCTTTATATCTTTATATTCCACAGTTCTGACTGCTTTTCTTGCAGTTGTGAGTTTATATCTCATAATTCTGAG